ACAAAATTCAGGCTTAAAAGCCTGAATTTTGTCTGAAACTCTCAGACTGAAGAAGTCTCTTGGAGGAGAGACGAAACGTTTCATTAGAGAAGAACCCGTCCAGAAGACCTATACAATTTTTTTATTTTTTATTTTTTTTACCTGGATTACTGAGATGCATCAGGACAGTAGAGCAGGTATTTTGGTTCTGGTCCCCCAGCGAGGTGTACCGTAGTTTTATTGGATCCTGCACCTCTAGATGGAGCTCTCATTGATGGCATGCTGTGAAGGTCACTTCAGTACTTTCATGGCTACAAGTGGCTGATACAGTGCCAGCGCTCAAAGGCCTAACATAGTGTTCTGTAAATGATATGAGGAGTGAACTGCCAGGACTCACCAGCGCTCACAATGTTCTGTGAAGACACTTCTCATCCCAGCGAGTGTTTTAAGGGTTAAAGACATCACCGCCTGCTGTAACAAGTTAGGAACGCTGTGTTCCCATCACTCTGTTGTTGCAGCTTGTATTTATCAAGTCTGTGTTGGAGTGAATTAAAAACAACCCAAGGCTGTGATTATAAATGAAATGTGAGAAAGAGCTACACAATTATTCTCGTGATAGACTTCAGCTGAACTTGGCTGTTCTCTCAGATCCGGATGCAGGCTCAGGGAAATGTGATCCAGGGCAGCATGATGGGCAACTTTATTCACATTTACCAGGAGGAAGGAACAAGAGGATTGTGGAAGGTAAAAAAAAAAAAAAAACAACAACTACTACTACAAAAATATACATTTCAAATGAAACAAATACCAAAAATCAGTTATTCAACCCTCCCTCTCTCTTTGCTTCAGGGTGTTTCTCTCACAGCTCAGAGGGCAGCTATTGTGGTCGGGGTTGAGCTTCCTGTGTATGACCTCACTAAGAAACACCTAATCCTCTCAGGTTACATGGGGGACACCGTGTACACACACTTCGTGTGAGTTTCAGTGACCTCGGGGGTTTCTTCTCGTCTTCCATGCAGTATTTCAGATTTGAACTGTATGTCAGACCTGTAACTGAATGAGCGGGACATTTGAGTTGAGATGATGTTTTCTTATTTATGTGCAGACATAAATAAGTTGAAATGTTCGTCATTCCTGTGTTTTCCAGGTCAAGCTTTGTATGTGGTCTCGCAGGGGCTCTGGCCTCGAATCCAGTGGATGTGGTCCGAACCCGCATGATGAACCAGAGAGGAGGAGCGCTGTACCAGGGCACACTGGACTGTCTGCTGCAGGTAGAGATGTGGATAAATGTTTAATCTTACACCAATATTAAATCTGACAGCAGATTCCACAAGAACATTTCAAACCAAACAAAATATCACCAAAATTGTGATTATCTCAAGTATGAGGGAAGTTATTGATGTTTGTTCAGGTGAAATCAGCTCATGTTTTCTTGCTGCACTTCACAGCAGAACCAATGGGACCATTTCACCTCGCTGTTTTCTATTTTTGCTCATAACTTCCTCAGTGTTCAAAATATCACCATGAAATTTTAGGAAAAGATTCACATTCTGGTTTTTGTAGGAAGCATCTTGTATCCTAAAAAACTAATAAAACTTAATAATAGTCAAATCAAAAGTAGAAGAAAAGGTATAAAACAACATTACAAGGCAAACTGTAGCATCAAATCAACTTAATGTGTCTTAGAAAGTAAAGAAATGAAAACAATTTAAAAACCATGTGGACATGTGTTTTGTAAACAAAGCTCCTCAACCAATGGCAGCGTGTTAAATGTGTCATGTGACGAAGACGAGCGTCAAAACACTTTGCAACAAGCGCTATTCTGTATTAAAAATACTTCTACGTTTCAAAGCATTATCAAATTTGGAACAAGGGCAGATAAAATAATGTTCTTCATGGCAACTTATCTATTTAAGGGGTCACTAGAAAAACTCGAGTGATTTACTTTGATCCTCTTCAAAAAATTGTCTCTTCAAAACGCATCAACAAAAATTAAAAACTGGAAGACGAGGCTGTAGCTAACTACCTGACGTCAGCGCGGTTTGTTCAAACTCGTAGAAATAACGAAGCAGGAGGAAATTACAAACAAACGCACCGAGCAGCCTTGCAAAATCTGGTCACAGCAGTTTGGGAAGAAAATGGCAGCAGCTGCTGACGAGATGTCAACGTCCCTACTGCAGGTGAGTCAGAACCTGTGCTCATGTGTGGACTTGTCTTCAATGCGGAAGCTCATGAGGATGAGAACAGTTCACTATCTTTTTCAAGTGCCGTGTGTTTATTGATTGTGATCTTATGGAGGTTCTGAAACTGAGCACATTGCTGTCAGGTGATATACTGTTATTGACTTGTACCTGTCTGCAAGCTCAGTTTTAGTCCAGCTATGCAGGACAGATGTAATAAAATCCCTGTCATCATAAAACGTGATTAAAATTAGATTTTATGTTCCTACACAGCCTGCAGGATGGAGTTTATTGTCAGTTTTTGTGTCATTGTGGCAGACAGTGGTAAATCTTTATTCCAAGTGTGTTGTAGCCCTTAGTCCACTGAGAGGAAGCCTACTGCTACTGGAAACAGCAAAACAAATCTTATTTTGTTTAAGTGATCATATCCATGTTGAAAAATCACTCTCACAGCTATTAACCACTTGATCAAGGAATTTCTTTGGCTGTACTTTTCTGTTTTCCCGATCTGGTACATTTTTTGCAAAGTTAGAAGTGTTTTGCTGCTTTTATTTTTATTTGTTAAGGTTCATGGGAAAACTTGTGCTTTCACAAACTGCACTTCTTTATCAAGGAGTAATGGGTATATGTAATGTATTTCTGGGGTAAATTTAGAAAAATACACAGGAAACCTAAGCACAAAGTTAACTATGTGGCCATTTTGGTTTGTCATTTCTAATTGTTATTTCTGTTTTGTAATGATTAATTTTCTCTTAGGAATTGAAGCAAATTGTTATAGTTTTAAAACTAGTGACACGTCTTTCTACTAGGAATGCACTGATAAGAAAATTTCAGCTGTTATCGATATCCGATATAATTATTGCTGTTATGGCCGATAACCGATATTTACTGATGTCACAAACACACAAATTACACTCACCGGCCACTTTATTAGGTACACCACGCTAGTAACGGGTTGGACCCCCTTTTGCCTTCAGAACTGCCTCAATTCTTCGTGGCATAGATTCAACAAGGTGCTGGAAGCATTCCTCAGAGATTTTGGTCCATATTGACATGATGGCATCACACAGTTGCCGCAGATTTGTCGGCTGCACATCCATGATGCGAATCTCCCGTTCCACCACATCCCAAAGATGCTCTATTGGATTGAGATCTGGTGACTGTGGAGGCCATTTGAGTACAGTGAACTCATTGTCATGTTCAAGAAACCAGTCTGAGATGATTCCAGCTTTATGACATGGCGCATTATCCTGCTGAAAGTAGCCATCAGATGTTGGGTACATTGTGGTCATAAAGGGATGGACATGGTCAGCAACAATACTCAGGTAGGCTGTGGCGTTGCAACGATGCTCAGTTGGTACCAAGGGGCCCAAAGAGTGCCAAGAAAAGATTCCCCACACCATGACACCATCACCACCAGCCTGAACCRTTGATACAAGGCAGGATGGATCCATGCTTTCATGTTGTTGACGCCAAATTCTGACCCTACCATCCRAATGTCGCAGCAGAAATCGAGACTCATCAGACCAGGCAACGTTTTTCCAATCTTCTCTTGTCCAATTTCGATGAGCTTGTGCAAATTGTAGCCACAGTTTCCTGTTCTTAGCTGAAAGGAGTGGCACCCGGTGTGGTCTTCTGCTGCTGAAGCCCATCTGCCTCAAAGTTCGACGTACTGTGCGTTCAGAGATGCTCTTCTGCCTACCTCGGTTGTAACGGGTGGTTATTTGAGTCACTGTTGCCTTTCTATCAGCTCGAACCAGTCTGCCCATTCTCCTCTGACCTCTGGCATCAACAAGGCATTTCCGCCCACAGGACTGCCGTTCACTGGATGTTTTTTCTTTTTCGGACCATTCTCTGTAAACCCTAGAGATGGTTGTGCGTGAAAATCCCAGTAGATCAGCAGTTTCTGAAATACTCAGACCAGCCCTTCTGGCACCAACAACCATGCCACGTTCAAAGGCACTCAAATCACCTTTCTTCCCCATACTGATGCTCGGTTTGAACTGCAGGAGATTGTCTTGACCATGTCTACATGCCTAAATGCACTGAGTTGCCGCCATGTGATTGGCTGATTAGAAATTAAGTGTTAACGAGCAGTTGGACAGGTGCACCTAATAAAGTGGCCGGTGAGTGTATATTATGCATATATGTACAAACACACTTGGGTCTTTTTTTCTGATACCATAAATAAATGACCAGACCTCTGACATGACGCCCTACTTCAGTTATTCCTGGTTACGCAGTATAACTATTACTATCATGATCAAACAGATGCTGCTCAACCAACCATCTCCCCTCCCAAAACAGAAACACAAAGCTAAAAAAGTGGGAAATCGATATCGGATGTTAATATCGGCCCAGTTGTACATATTGGACCGATACCGATATTCTAAAAAATTGCCAATATCGGCTGATACCAATATCAGTACCGATATATTGTGCACCCCTACTTTCTACTTTGACTTTTTCTTCACGTAGAGGTTCATGGAGAAGCTGCTAAAGTATGTTTTTGTTTTATTGTTGTTTACTACTAAACCTAACTTTTTATGGTTTCTTAGCTACTAATTTTTATCATGTCTGACACTGTGAATAGGTCTTATGTTTTATTTATTTTAAGAGGGTCTGCTTCCTGCTGCAGTTCCTCATTCTTATGTTAAAACAGTTCTACTTCCTGTTTTAGATCAATCACATTTAACTTGGTCTTGTATTTTAATATTTTTGTTGTTTCTTAAAGTGCCTGTGCCGTCAAAAATTTTGTAATACATATGAATTCATTATTTGAAAGATGACCCTGATAAAATATTGCAAAAGCAATTTGATATCACTGAGATGAGCAGTTGAGGAGATATTTGCATGTGAGATAACAGGAAGTGATGTCAAAGGGAAATGTCTCAATGTGAACAGAGTGTTGCTTTTACAGCTAATAACATAGACTGTAGAGAACAATCTGATCTTTCTTAAGAATATTTTGAGTCACAATCAGAGTAAGATGAAGAAAAGTCAGAGTTCAAATATTACTGTTTCAATAAAGACCAGAGAGTTTTCTTTGTTAAAGAGTTCCCCTTTGATATCACTTCCTGTTTCACTTCGGCTGAGCCAAGTTCAAAAGAATAAATCTGCCAGTTCTGGGACAAAATGGGTAAAATTGTATGTATTATCCCAACTTTCTTAAATATAAAGAAGTTTTCTTTGACTTTTTAAATTTGAAGAATATGCATGTCACAGGCACTTTAATTACAGTTAAACTGGCAAATTTGCTGTTTGTTCAAACCAGCAAATACACGAGACCCAAGTTAGCCGAGGGACTCTTTTATTTATTTGTTTGTTTGAACAGATCTGTGTGGCTCAGAGGTTGATGATTGAAACCAGCTGAACCCACAGTCTCTACTGCTGTACTGCCCTCTGACTGTTGTTAATGCTCCAGTTGAGACAGAGGGAGTTTCTGACACTTCCTTGAGGATTTTATGTCTTATTTTGTTGTTGAGCTCAGTTGTTCTGCAGACTCTGAGCTCAGATTACAGCAGAATGACGGATGTACGGGTCCAGCTGCATTGCTGAGTCAAATGTTTTCACCCAGAACATGATGGTCTTTAATTGCATCTGTAAACAACCCATCTCACTGATAAAGAAAACATGATGAAGTTGGTCTGTGTAGCTTTGTTTTAAGCCATGCTTGGATAACAGCACTTTTATTTCACTTGTGTCTCTTAGCACAGTGATGTGTTTGTTCTTGTCCAGTCAGCTGACTGCCTCCTACAAAACTCTGAAACTGTTACCCCCCCCCCCACCCCCCTCCAGATTCAAAATTGCTCTTGATTTCCAGCAACAACTCATGGTCATATCTTAATGCATTAGGATACAAACCTGTTATTTGTTTGGATTAGATGTTTGACTTGCTTTCAATCAACATTTTAATTTGGTTGAAAGTCTCAGAGTTAATTATATTTGTCCAAAAGCTTTAAATTGCCTTGTGAGTGTGTTGGTGTAAAATTTGTGCTTATGTAAATGATAAATAATTCATGTTATGTAGAACATGTAGCTTTAATACCCCAGATTTCCTAGTCCTGGTGAAAAATACCCAGAGAGGACTGTAGAGTGATCCTCAGAGGATAATTAGAAGAAATTGTTTTTTTTTATCCTGTTTGCTTTTCTTCTTGCAGACGTGGCGCTCAGAGGGCTTCATGGCCCTGTATAAGGGCTTCTTCCCCAACTGGCTCCGCCTGGGACCGTGGAACATTATTGTATCCTTTCAGCCACTCAGCTCTTTACACATTACCTCTGTGTAGTACCTCTCTAGGCTGGAAAAATTAGCAAGGTAGGAAAGGATGTTGGGTTTGAACTTAACAAAAAAAAAGTCTTCCTTCAAGTGTTAAGATCTAATTAAACATCTTTAAATGGCAGAAATAATTTGTTGGGATATATTCTCCCCGAACCATTCAGCCCTTAAATACATAATGTAATTAAGACGGTTATTCCAGCTGAATAGCCTATATGCCACGGACATCCGGTCCACTTGATGCCACTCACAACGCTTCCGGTTCGCGGTCAACACAGTGTTGGCGAAAGATTTTTTCACCCGACAATGACTCTTAATGATCTCCACAATACAGCATTAGCATATTACATGAACCAACATTAACACAGGAGACGTACAGGTCCAGCCAAGTGGAAAAAATCACTCCAAAGTGGATTAAAGCCATAAAAGCAAAGGAAAGACGTTTGTGTTTATGGTTCCAGAATTTAGCCTTTTTCAATATTCCGTGGCTGCTTTTTCCGTGAATTTTTCACGTAGAGCAGTGACACATATTGTTGGAAAGAGCAGAGTCTGGGCTTTAAAACAATAGGCTACTGG